GTGGCCGCCATCAAGACGGACATCACCAAGCTACAGACGAGACCGGACGCCGCGACAAAGAGTTACAAGATGCCACACTTCGACATCAGCAAGTTCAACGACCACAACAAGACGGGCGCCTTGGCATGGTGGCAACGTTTCCTTACAGAAGCATCCTGCCGCACTGTCCCAGACGACTACATGATGAAGGCGCTATACTTACAGCTGATTGGAGGAGCGCAGGCATGGATGAACCACCTGGCGGCTACCCACACATGCACCATCGTCGAACTTCATACGCACATCACGTGGAAGGAGTTCGAGCAGCTATGGTTCACCCGGTTCATGGTCCGCAATGTCGTGAAGGCGGCCATGAACGAGGTGTACACCTGCTCTCAGGGAAGTATGCCAACTTGAGTCTGGACAACCAAGTGGCAGAAGATAGTGACCACGCCAGGCTTCGATTTGACTTTTCCAAATCAACGATCCGAGTTCTTCTCACGATCGTGTGCAGGATTGCGGTCGGCACTCGGTAATGAGTACGACTACACCTCGTTCCAAGCTATCCTGGATCGCGCAAACCTGGTCATCCAAATAACGACAAGGCCGCTAACGAGAAACAATCCCAGCCGCATTATGTGGCTAAGCAGGGCTATCAACGTCCGACACATAACAATGCCGTAATTTCTGAAGGAACAGACGATCTCCACGCTGCAGCAGCATCCTCGGGTGATGGAGGAATTGTAGCAGCGCTCCCGCCGAAGCGTCCTAAGAKGGTCAGGAAACCCAAGGCGACACAAGAGACGGCATCGACGGGAACTGGGCAGCAGCCATGGACGGCCTACAACATCACAAAGGAAGTCTATGAACTTCGTCAGAAGTACAAATATTGCCTTTGGTGCAATGGAGTCACACACTTGACTGCACAATGCCCCGAAAAGGCCAAGGCACGCGTACTCCGTCCAACAAACTCGGGAAACTGAGTTACGCAAGGAGAGGGGYGACGTCTCTCCTCACTCCGCCGGACCCGGTTGCCTTGCTAGCAATCGATGTCACTATCGGGGAGCATGCGTTAGTCGCTGATTCTCGTGCTACATACGAGGATTATGCCGCCCAGCTGGTACCACCATTAGACCAGCCAAGCCACGTGCATTTAGCTAGCGTAAGCGCAGCCTGTACACCATCGGCAAGTGATCCGATCAGTTCGCCACTGATTTCCGAGGACTCGACAGCGTGGTCAAGACTTGAGGAGCTTGACCCGCTCACGAGAGAGGACTTCGCYTGGAKGCCTCTACMCTCGACCGGAACCTTGCCAAGGCCGCATTGCAACGCCTTGATGGCAACTCTACGCTCCTATTTGCACACTACAGTACCAGCTCCGTTGACGGACGACGG